CTGTACCAGGGCAATGCCTTGTTTACTCCCAGACAGCATTTGAATCAACAAGGAAGTTTTGAAAAGCTATTGCAATGACCTGGAGATAAATATACCCAAAATAGTCACTGCAGATAGTAAAAAAACATCCCAGCTCAGTGTTTGGAGTAGTGTATAACTGTATAGTGTGGTTTTTTTATTTTATTTTTTCTTTCCTTTAACATAACATTTCAAATTCTGCACTATCAGAAATGTCTAGCTGCACTGAACCCAGAGTTTTGGAAAAGAAATCAACTGTCTCTGCTAATAAGAAGAACTTCTCCTCTTCCCCACAAAAAAATTCTGCCATTTCATTCATAAATAAAATAAACCTCTAACTCAGTTGTTGGCAGGCTCTCCCTTTTATCTTTCACTCACTTGAGAAGGACCAGCAACATCACGTTTTCAGAAAGCCAAGTGCAGTAATCATAGAATCGGATTTCATGTATTTTTAAAAGCATTTGCAGCAGCAGAGATCCAATCACTTTTAAAAGAAACACAAACATACAGAAATTTGGAAGAAGCAACTCAGTGCTCCTGACTTCCTTCATTTCTCCAGCACCAGATGGATGTGCTGGGAAGGGACTCTTTTCTAAGGGACATCTCAAAAAGTTAGCAACATTATGCTACAAGCACCGCAGTGCTGAAATACTTATTATCTCAAATAAACCTGGATGACATTTGAGATGTCTCAACATTTATTGGCCTGCCAGCAGAGCCTGGGATCAATCACCTCCTTTTCTCTCATTCCTTTTTTTTTTTTTTCCCTCCTGCATGCTCAAAGTCCATGTTCATAAAATATTTAAGGGAAGCTCTTCAGAGGATGATATTGCCTATACTATAGCCCCAGTGCAGGTTTACTGTGCTACTGAGACAGATATTCTGCCACCAGAGAAATCAAAATTGGTCATGGAGTTGAGTTACTGCACCAGGGGCACCATCAGACTGACAGTCTGAGCTTGATCCCACCTGGGACACTGGGCTGAGTGGGAGGAACAAAGTAACAGTGGAACAGAGCTGGTGGCTTTTGCAAGGTTATACAGAAAAATGTTACTTTTCAGAATGGAAAACAAAAGTATGAATGTTCTACTTGTGTCTGAGACTCACCTGACCCTTTCTTACCTCTTTGCAATTTTCTTCTCAGTGGGAAAAAAAAAAACCACCCAGATTAATGAAATGTGGAATTCAGATGTGCTGCTAAATGAAGCCGTCAGTCTGGCAGCATCTCTTGCAGTACCACCCACTTCTGCAGCAGCCTGCCATAAATGAAATCAGCTCCCATGGTCCCTTCCTACCCCTGAACTTTGCCAAAACCTGCTCATCTCATGCTTTCGCAGCCTTCCCTATAATCCACACATTCTGTGCTCCCACCATCACAGGAATTTCCCCTCCTAATTTCATTAAATCAGCTGCAGATTTCCTGTGCTACTCTGAAGTTTTCCTGCAGCAGGTATCTGCTTTTAACCTTCTCATCAAAACCTGGCTGAGAATGTTCTTCTGAACCTCTCATGACCCTAAATCCCTATTATTTCTCCTCTTAGTTCAAGGGATAGGTGTCCCTTTGTTCCACCCTTGGCATTTCTCACCCTCAGGCATACGAGCTGTTGCTAAACTGTCTTCTTGTAATAATTTTTATGAAGTGCAGTCCAATTAATTTTATCTTCCTTGGGGATCCATTCAATTAAATGAAGTCATAATGAGTGAGTGGACACAGAGCATTGTCACCATATTTACATCCAGATTAATAGGAACCAGGTAAGATAACTTTAAAGCCATCAATATTTTAATACTTTGGCTTTTGATTGTGCTATCTTCAGTGTCAGATACATTTAGGAGAGACCAGTACAGTTTGAGAGGCTGAGCTTTTAATTTCCTCAATGGTTTGTGGAAGTGGGGGTTTAGAAACAGCAGCAAAAATGGGGGTTTAGAAACAGGAGCAAAGACTTGGTCTTAAAACAGATTTCTCACAGGTCAAACAAAACACTTGTCCTGACAAAAAATAAAATAAAACTTCATCCAGTTAATTCTTTCATGGATTGAAGGTAATTTAGGAAACCAGCAAAGAACCAATATTTAAGTGGAGATGCTGAGAACATCAGGAAATCTCATTTAACGACCATGCAACAGAAATGCTGAGCCAGGAACACCAGCTCTGAAGTGACTTTTCTCCCTTTTGAAAGACAAATGCTGGATCTGGAGCATGGACCTGTCTCTTAGATATGGAACAGCTCTGGAAGTTATTTTTGTGCCTGCTTTGCATTGCAGAAGCAAGGAAGAAGGGTCCAATGGAGACTGAAACCCTCATTCTGTATCACCACAGCTTAACTTAATCATGTCTCAGGCACTGATAAATGTGTCAATAAGCATTTGGAGAAATAACTGGTATCCAGGGAATTTATCTTGGTTATAGGAGTTTCAGATGAATAGGTCAGATTTGTTAACATTTTAATTTACGAAAATCTGCATTCCAAATATTGCTCTTCATCTTCTTTTCCTAATGACAAGGAAATGTCAGCAGCAACCCCAAATTCAGTCCTCTAATAGCTTCCTCAAGTTTTCAGGAAAAACAAACAAAAACAAACCACCAGTCTATGGTACAGTAATGGGGGTGTTAAAACACAATTTTCAACTTAGATACAATATAACTTTATGTTAATAAAGCAGAAAGTTCTGCCAATTCCAGATGTAAGCCTGAAAGCAGGAGAGAGAGCTGGGAATAAGCATGCCCCGTGGCTTCAGGGCAGCCCCAGGATTATGCCCAGAGCTGGTTGTTCTGCCTTGATCCAAGTGTCCCTTGCCCAGCCTTGTACTCAGCTTGGGACACTCAACACCAGATTTCCACATACAATGTGCCAGCTGTGATTTCCTGTGCACAAGGGAACTCACACGAAGCACATGGTTCACCTGCAAGTTTTTAAAATCATTTAGATGCAATGAGAGAAATGCTAAAAAAGATTCTGCCTTATCCTTTCCCCCTAATTATCACCTGCCTCTTTTCTGAGCTGATTTGTTGAGATTAAAACCTCTTTCCCACCAAGTTATCCCAATCCGTGCTTCTGAAATTAATATAAACCAACGACCTTTCTCTGCCCATAAAGCCCAGCATTAAAATGCTGACCCCCACTGATGTCAGGGGGGCAGGAACAGTTCTTTCATTTCCATAAAATCAGCATTTTCCTGCCAGAATTCCAATTTCTTCTCTGAGTACTCTGCTACCATCCCCTTGGGGGCTGCCAGCAATCTCTCCAGCATTTGTTTCTCCTCTTCCACTGCAAGCCTGCCGCAGGCTCCAGCACGGCCTGGGATAATCTACCTGCTTAAGATTCAGCCAACTTCCCAGCTCTCAGAATAAAAGGAGTACAGAAAGGTCAAATCTGCCCTAGGTTGTGCTTGCAGAGTCTGCCACATCAGGTGGGAAGGAGCAGGTGCTGGAGCTCCTCCTGCTCCCCTGGCTCTGCTTCCTGTCTCCACACCTGGAAAGATCTCTGCCCTCCTGACCTTCTCCTTGGAAAGCTGTTCCACACAGCTCACCCTGAAACGGTGCTGAGGGCGAGCCTTGTGCTGCTCCCAGCCAGCATTCCCATCCCATCCCATCCCATCCCATCCCATCCCATCCCATCCCATCCCATCCCATCCCATCCCGAGTGTCCCGGGATGCCCCTGGGCTGCACACGTGCTGCTGAGCTGCTGCTGGGGTTTTTATCTGCTCTCAGCAGCTGCCTTTGGGATCCTCCCCGAGCTGCTCTGAAGCAGAAAAGCAGCCCCACACATGGGAATTCCCTAGCAGGGAATGTCTCCTGACTGGAGCCTGGCACAGCATCAGCAGTGGGGCCAAAAGTGTGCTGCTGGCCTGAGGAGCACAGGAAAAATCTCCAAGGTGCTGGAGGCTTCACCTCTCAGAACTCCTAGGCCCATATCTGGGGACTCCTGCTTACTCTGCCCCTGCCATTGCCACAGAGGAGGAAAGGAGAGAAAGAACAAAAGAAGTTTCTGGTGCCTTCTCACAGAAACACAGCACACTGGGCTCTCCCAAACTGGACTGTCCCACTGGATGTGTTGTGAAAATAAACAGCCGAGCCTCAGACTAAGCGAGTCCTTCCTTCCATACTCTCTGTGGCCCATGTTCCCATCACTTAGTCCACAGAGCTCCCCCAGTTGCATTGAGCTGCACTCCATCACCTGCACAGTCCCCTGGGGAATAAAATTAGAACTGAAGTTCTGGGGTTCTCTCCCTTTAACCCCCTGACCCCATCCCCTTGTTCCCCACTCACTCCAACCCACCACTGACACTGCATTGATTTCTGTTTAATGTGTGAGGTATAAATGCTTTGTCCTTGAGCTACACCCACAACCAGAGGAGGCAGAGCTCTGAGAATCACATTATATAGTTTACACTGGCTGAGTATTTTTTGTCAGTTAAAGTAAAATTTCTGCTGCATTTGGAAAAGCTGCACATTGTAAAATGCCAGAAAGAAGAGGCACTAAAGGCAGAACATCACACCAACCCCAAATCACTGGAAGACATTTTACTAGTTTGGAAATGACACAAGGACATGAAGTGTGCTGAGTGCAGGCTGTGTTCCTTTTCCAGAGATAAGCAAAGAGCTAAGAAAGACAGGTCTAGAAAGGGTTATAGATGTCTTGCACTTTATTTCCCCCCAACAGAAGGGAGGAAAAATGACCATTTATTCATCCCCCTACACCTCCTGGAGTATTTTCTATATCTTTGAGTTGTACAAACTTAGAAAAGGAAAATATCAGCTCCTGGAGTTTGAAGGTACTCTCAGGGTTTCATTGACTGATATGGATTAAGACAAAAATATCACATCAAAGCCACGATGCCCCACAGTCGCCGCAGAAGCAAAGACTGTGATCGCCACACCTCAACTCCAGCTTTTAGAGCCTTGGGATTAAAGACGGTGTTTGGGCTTTTCACATCAGCGACCCTCAGCAAAGGCCTGGTGAGAGGGTTTCGAACTCACCTCCCTGTCGAGCCCCGCCGCCACGGTGACGATGTCCCCTGTCTCGCTGTTGATGGTGAACATGTTCTGCGAGGGGCTCTGCGGGGTCTGCGTGACGATGCGGTACCTCACCATCCCGTTGGCCGTGGTGCCGTCGTCCGCGTCGTTCGCCGTCACCGTCATCACGTAGGTCCCTGGGAAGGAGGCCAGAGGAACTATCAGTGCCACCTCACTGCGGAGCAGGCTGTGGTCCCAGTGACCCGGGCTCATGCATTTTGTTCAGAAATGCTATGGAAAAACACCTCGCTTCAATCCAGCCGGGCAAGGCGAGGATTATGGAAATAGCAACGCTGCTGAGACAGATGATCTGGAAGGATGCTGATTACACGTAACTGGTAGATAGAGAGAAGTCATGTGAGGGTATCTATGATTAACTTCTAATTCTTTCAGTGATTGCAAGTTTTAGGGCAGCATTTTTTGTCCTGCAATTTCATAGATTCTCATAGGAGATTTTTTTTTTTCATCCAATCACTGCATTCACCTGCATTCAGAAGCAGAATTTAATAGTGGAAAGCCCATCAGACTTCCCAGCAGCTTCAGAAGTTCACCATCAGCATGCCCATAACCTGTTCAGGAAGCAACTGCCTGCTGCTTCCAGTTCTTGGAGAAACATCCACCTTTCTTGTCCCTCCAGGATTAAAAAATCCATTTCTGCAGAGCAAATACAACAGCTGCTGCCCAGCAGGACAGAAAATCAATGATTTGGTGTGTGTGGCCAGTGATGTATTGAATTGTTGGTTTGTTTCTTGCTAATCATCAGTGTCTTCATTTGCCTTGCAAAAAACAATCCCCACATTCTCGATACTGTCGGAGTGCACTGATGCACTGACAGGCTCATTAGCACTGGAGTTTGGCAGCAGGGTGTTCTGCTAAAGTGGGAAATTATCATTATGAGCGTAAAAGATGTTACTTGATTGGATGGACTCCTGCAGCTGCATGGTCCTGTGACCCCCCCAGAGCTCGTAGGGCCTGGCTTTACACTTCTTATATTGGTGGGAGGGAATGAGCAGAAGGGCAGGCACACACTGCTCACACACAGCAATCTGCAACAGTGGATGGATGTAATGATATGAGACCTGAGAAGAGGAGTGGGAGGCAAAGAGAGACAGCAAAACCAGACATAACCTCATTTTGTGATCACCAAACCCAGCAGCATCCATGAAAAGAGGGAAGGTGCTGCTCGAACACTGCACATTTGGGAAGTCTGAGCACATGGACCAACTTATGAGCCTGCTATGCTGGAGAGATGCAAAGTGGTCCCACCAAGAACCACACCAAAAGAGCTGAGTTTGTTCTGCTCTCTAGATTAGATGTGAGCCATGGGCAAACGTGAGGACATGTGACTGCATTAGCATTGTGCTGTTTCTCCTCTGGCACACCCAGGTCCCCAGCCTGGTCACACTGGGAGATACCACACTGCCACTTCAGGAAGACCAGAGAGCAGGAGAACTTGCATCTGTTTGCAAAAGGCTTGAAAAACACCCCATGCTCTAAATGGCTGCAGCATTTTGGACCTTAGCCAAGTGTCTTTAAGCCACTCAGCACGTAGGAAATCCCCCCAGTACCTTTCCCAACTCTAGGAAACCAGTGTTTCTCAGTATTACCAGAAGTTCACAAGAAGTTTGTATTTTTGCACTTGTGGGAAGTGCTTTGCTGATCTTCCATCTGCCTCAATCAGGCTCTTTTTGTTCTCGGTGGTGATACATATATTCCTGTGAGTTTTCTTTGTTCAATAAGAGTTATAGATTAAAAAAAAATGAATGTGTAAAGCAAATTTTAATGATGAATACATTCCTGTTTTTCTGCAATAATCCTGATTCACATTTGTGAAATGAAAACAAACTATTCAACAACTTTAACATTCTCCCGATCAATAAACTTCAGAAGACGGAAGGAACACTGAATTGAAACAAGGCTGTGCAAGCAACAAATTTTCTCTATTTTCTCTACAAGCATTCGTTTTTTTGCTCTTTTTCAAAACCAGTTATCATGAGACAGCTGATACAAATAATGAAACCAACCCTTAGATAACTACAGGGAAAATGTACAGGAGAAATTTAAATAGGAAATATGCTGAATGAGATGTTTGATTTGGAATTTATGTTATCTTAATGCATTCAATACTGAAAATATCTCTGAACAGAATGTCAGAACCTGGGGCTAATGAAAACAGAAGCGGAAGACGAAAACAGAATCTATTTTAGGACATGTGCAGTTTTAGGATGTATTCCAAAAAACAGGTGGTGTTTCATTATGCACTTCTAGCTCAAAAAACAGCTCTGAAAGTCATTTGGTCTTTCGGGTTCAGACAAGGGCACCCCACAATTGTGGTTCCTCCTCATGGGGGATGTCTCAGACTGTACTGTAGATTCTGGAATTATCCAGCACATGTGTGAAATGGTGGGTTCCCAGCTTGGCAGGAGAACCTGACAGGCTGCAGCTCTGGTGGGAGGGGGTGGGGGACAGCAGCTGTACTGTGGATGGAGAGCACAGAAGGTCTCCTTCACTCTTTCTCTGACCTTTTTGCCTCTTTCCTGTGGTGTAGCACTGGACTGAGCACATCTGCTCTAGAGAAAAAGGACTATTTCAACAGCATTTGACCTGCATCTCCATAAAGGGAGATGGGGCTGGACAAATGTCTCTAAAGTCATGAACTGAGCACCAGGCAGCTGTATTTCAAGAAGCAATCTGCTCCCTATCTCCTATCTTTAATTTCCATTATGAAACCCAACCACAGAGAAAATAAAGAGAGGAACTTGGCATTAATTACGGTCTTGTAACTTAATAAACGCCCTCTGCAAAGGGCCCTGCGTGGCTGCAGCACATGACGGAGCTGCAGCAGCCTCTTCCTTCCTGCCTCTCCCTGGGGCTGTCTGACCACAGTCTGCTGGAAACTGGCTGCAAATTGCTTCTCCCTCTCCACAGTCTGGACAGTGGCTGGTATCTCCTCTCCCTTTCCTGTGTACACACTTTTCCCACCTGGAGTGTCGACCGACAGCATCTCCTGTTCTCCATGCTGAGGGCATCATCCCTAGGGATGGCTCCCGAGGGATCAGCTGGTGTAACCTACACCACTGCCCATGTTCCACTTGGTTTGCTTTGCATTTAGCCTGTTTTTAAGGAAGATTTATCCTCCAGATACCTGCATGCTGCAGTGAATGACACAAACACAGATCTGGGCACAAGACTATTCAACAGAGCGATGTGGATATACACAGATGAAGTGTCTAACATCCTCTGGGTGCTGTATAAACTCTAGCTCTGTACTCAGATGGTTGGTGATGATTTACCTGCAATAAAGTAAATAATGTCATGCTTCTATATCCTTTACATGGAGATACATCTTCTTGTATTTTATATTAATATAAAGGCAATATATCCCTGTATCCAGCCCCTAATGCTACAGAAATTAGGCAAATATACAGTAGCAGAGAGCACAGCTCTCACACACTCGAGGATTGAGGCTGCTATTGTTTGGTTTTAAGTGACAAAATACTGACTGCCTAATCTGGCTCACAGGATGTGTGTCTTTTGTGGAAATCAAAGTATTAACCACACCATATTTACAGCCCTATATCCTACCCAAACAGAGGCTAGGAGCAATTACTGCAGACCAGAAACACTGAGAAAACTCCTCCAAGTCACACACAAGACCCCCAATCTGTACTCTGTCAATTTTGCATCAGATCCTGCTGGTGGTGATGAAGCTCCAAGAGTAGGTTAAACAAGTGTAAACAGGGCAAGAGGGACTCTGTGCTTTCAGAGCCTGAGAAAAGCATCACCTTAATTTTTCTGCTCTGCAGGGCTTGCTCTCAAGCACACTGACAACATGAAATGAATGCATAAAGTGCCCAAACTCAGAAATTTGCCCCAGTCTGTGCAGTGTATAACAGGATGAATACCCAGTGCAGATATAACAGATATATATCTGATATAACTGCATTAAGCTACACACCTGGCCTAACTCAGGTACGTAACCTGTTGAAAGGAAACCATTTCTCATCAAATAAGGCACATGGTACGTTAAATAAAATACCGAACCTAGTACATCATGTCAATATTAAATCAAATTTGCTGCATGTTGAACAGCTCTTCTGAGCAGCAGATTGAATTACCATGCACAGCTAGTGATGACAAGATTACTGTGCATTAGCCTTCATTAACTAATGTGCAGAGTTAATATATCACCTGAGTTAAAATTAATGGATGGCATCATGAAGGAGATCTATCAATAAAAGACAAGACCTCCAGAATCTGTAACTTCCCAATGCATTCCCTTTGATTTCCCAGAGACTGTAAGCTCCCAGATGTTATTTTGTCAAATGAGATGGTTTTGTTTCTAACCATGGATAAGACACATGAGAGAAATGCTTGAAAGCAACTCTTATGGAAAATATTCCCATTGGATTAATTAAAGCTTCTACAGGATAGGCAAAAAAATGCCTTAGAGAACCTAGGGGAATGGAAGCAAAGGGAGATAATTTATACCTGTACATTCAGTTTTGTTTGTCAATTTTAAAATGAATTGCATCTCCTTGTAGAAGACTGCAAAGAGATTTTGCTGGATTCACCATATCTCATTCCATCTGTACACACCAAGGAAAAGGAAGAGCAAAACAAGAGAGATAGCTGCCCTGAACATGTGTAAGCAGATAAGCACAGTCATAAACAAATGTCCCCCTCAAATCACTCTGGAATCTGAGAATCAGCACAGTTCTTTGTAGCTCAGACAATCCCAAAGCATGCTGAGGGCTGCTAATTCCCCTCACTGCAAGCTCTCCCATCTATGCAACTTCATTTCTCCATAAAGACAGAGCTTTCAGGAGTTTAAGGCACACAAACAATATTTTGGCACAGTTGTGCTCCTGAAGTCTTTGTTACAATTGTTTTATAATTGCCATTTTTCTAAGCTGGTTTGATATTCCCGGTGCCCTGAGTTTCCACAGATATCCATTAGTTAGATTTAATGCATATTAAAATAAAGAGCTAATGGGCACTTACCAGGAAGCCAACAAGATATAAAAATCAAAACTCCTTTCACTTCGCCTTTTATCCCACATGTCACTGCAAAATCACATAATCCTCCCAGTCTTCTTCTATAATATAAACAGAAACCGCTAAAACTTCACCCACT